GCAAATCAGCAGTGCTTTTCCGTCCTGTGGGCCCAGGCCTTTGTCTCGGACCTCGGCCGCCCAGATAATAGAAATCCTGAGCAACGTGGGATCAGGGGCTGCCCTTTTCAGAGAGCAGCTCTGTTCCTGTCGATCCTGACGAACTCACCGCTGAGAACAATAAAACACAGGAAGCATTCTAATTCCGTTTGGTCCACTAAATGCCAGTAAACAAAATGCCCTCAGAGGATTTTTCTTTTAACTGGTTTTTGTTTCCCATTTCGGAAGAGCGAACTGATGGGATCTCTCCATGAGTCATCAGTCAAGTGCGTGGTTTGCTTGAAATACCTTAAAATGTTTCTTATCTAATCTAAGTGTTGGCATACTCCAATCTGCCTGCACTTACCTAAGGTCCACATATATTTCTTATAAAATGTGCATTATCAGAGGAAACAGGCCTGAGGCCATAGAGGAAAGACAGGGGAGAAACCATGGGCCCCAGAGGCAGAATTGCATTCACTTGATGGCAGACAGAAGTGCTTCTTTGAGGTGTTTCCTGCTGCATAGGGGCTCAGTGTCAGCATACTCCAATCTGCCTGCACTTACCTAAGGTCCACATATATTTCTTATAAAATGTGCATTATCAGAGGAAACAGGCCTGAGGCCATAGAGGAAAGACAGGGGAGAAACCATGGGCCCCAGAGGCAGAATTGCATTCACTTGATGGCAGACAGAAGTGCTTCTTTGAGGTGTTTCCTGCTGCATAGGGACCCTGCCCCAGGGATTTGACCAACAAGTTACTGGGAGCCTCAGGAGGCCACTCTGGGGGTCACCTGACTGGCGAGAGCTCAGAGACCACAGTGCAATGACACTGCACTCTGGGGAGTGACATGAGTCAGTCAAGTGCATGGAGTTACCTGGTCCCTTGCCAACTGCTCACCACCTGTGAGGAGCCTGCAGGGCAATGTCAGGCGCTGGGGAACTACTTGCCTTCTACATGGACTCCAACTTCTCAAAATAGTGTTTATTGGGGGACCATCCCATGTCCGTGAGGGATCCATCTTTCATCTTTGACAAGCTGGGATTTCACTCCTGAGAGCTTACATGTACTCACCCCCGCGATGTAATGTTGGACTCATACGAACACTTCAGGTACTCATTCCTGACATGAGCTATCCCCAAACCAGCCGCATTCCCTTCACAAGTCACTGATGTAGGAGGCAGACACAGAGAACGTGGAGGGCAAGGAAAGCAAATTCAATAGTCATTGATAAGCCTTGTGTTCTCTTTCAGAATCCTGACTCGATGGTGCTTGAAATGCAGAACTGACTCCTGGGTGAAGAATATCATTCTCAATGTGACTTTCACAGTCTGACTTAAAGGTGCTAAGGGTTTAAAGTATGTCTTCCTCTAGGTTTGTTACTTCTAGTCCAAACCTCTCTCCCTGTGATATGGGACCAGTCTGTCATATGATTGCAAAAACTTCAGCTAATTTTTCATGTGTGAGCTCATCAGATCAATTCTGAGTATCGACCCAGACTCGCTGATGAGCTGTCAAAATGACTGATTTTTCTATAAAGACAAAACTTTGTTCGGAGGAAAATAAAGGTAAGCTAGTTCCAAAGGACAGCAGTTAAAAAGTCATACATTTGCTATAACACACATCTGCTACTCCTAAATGCAGTTTCTGGGCACAGGGCAGAGGGCCATAGTACAACATGAAAAAAGACAACTTGTCATGTTTAGAGGAGTGATTTTTAGTTTTCAATCGAGAATATAGAGTTCATTTACTTTTAGGATAAAAGCAATAAATTATATTTAAATTGTTGTATATTATTAATCACTGCATATATGTAGTTAAAACTCTAACATACCTCACATATCAAGAATGCTGCTATCATTTTAGGGTGTTTGGTCTTCATTTTTAAAAAAACAACTATTGTGCATTGCCCCAGAGCATGTGTAAACTGGCAACATCCATCCCATCAAAATTATAAACTCTTTCCTGTTCCTCTTGCAAACCTCAAAGCAACACCATGGCAGGAATGTAATCAGCTATAATAATCATAATTACAATATGCAAGTTAACTGTAATGACACACATAAGGATTTCTTTATCACAAAGTTCTTTCCCTGAGACGTTTGAGTCTTCCCATCAACATGAAAAACAGCATTCAAGGTGAAGTATACAGTTAGCAGCACATTTCAATTAAAAAGATATACAAAAGGATGCCCACTTCTACCAATGTGTGCAATCTGAAAGAAATTATAAAGATATGGAATACACTTATCACATTTAGTTGCTAAACATGAACAATTGCATATTTGGACAGAAATTTACCCAAAGTCAAGGTCAATCTCTAAAAGCACCGAGCATCCCTTGCTCAGGCACCCTCTGTGGCTGCATCACCTGCCTCTCCAGTTGCTTCATGTGCTCATGAATACACAACATTAGACAAGTGAAAGGCAGACAATAAAAGCAGCTTATAAAGAAGCATTTCCTGCTTTCAGGTAGAAGCGGGGCCTACTTCTAAAGGAATCCAGCATATTGATTGTACTCAGTTCCTTGCCACTCCAAGCAAAGGAATAGCCATAAATATATTTTGCAATTCAGCAAATCAAAGAAAGGATGTGGATTCTAGGCATATTAATACTGACAGAGTTGACTAAACAATATTATCGCCTTCACATGTCTTCAATATGAGTGATGATTAAGGATATTGCTGCAATTGCACATAATCAAGCAGCCCTATATTTGTTTTTGTACATTAAAATTTATGATACAGCACAATTTACAATAGCTAAGATTTGGAAACAGCCTAAGTGCCCATGAGCAGATGAGTGGATTTAAAAACTGTGGTACATCTACACAATGGAATACTATGCCGCTATAAAAAAGAAGGAACTTTTACCATTTGCAACAGCATGGATGGCACTGGAGAGCATTATGCTAAGCTCTTTGTAACATGATAGGTGTTGGGTTTGAGTAGAATTCTTTAAAGACCTTTAACTATCTCCATGTACCAGTACGACCCCAATACATAACGGTAACCCTACAGAAGGGCTCCCACTTTGATTTCTTAAGGAACTAAATATACTACAAAACAAGACACACTGCAAACCCTCAAAGAAACTGAAATTTCTTCTCTCTTTGCCTAGATCAACTCCTCTGCAGTCGGACTAGATTAAAAGGAGGGGGCATGGTTGGGGGGGGGAGTCAATTGGGGAAAAAGGAGACTTATGTAAAACTTTAGACAATAAAAAAAAAGGAAAAAATATATGGTATTTATTAAGTCATAGATGGTACCTCTAGGAAGACCTTAACTCCTAGTCAGTTCCACCGTTTGGGTAAACTTTATAACAGTGTTTGCTAATGAGGTTCCGCTTCAGAATGCCAAAGCAGATTGTGTACGCTGACCACTGCCTCACCAGGACCCATATTAAACTCAAGCAGCATTTCTCTGGGTTTCTGAAATTCTTCCGTGAGCACTGGGTCTAGTGCACATATTACTATGTCCTGAAGATCTCTAATGAAATACATCTGGAAGGAGACAAGGTTAACAGCCAGGAAGCTCATAGGCCTGCTGCAGTCACTTCCCTGAGAAGGAACATTTTGCTCTGAAGAAGCAAACTAAGGTTTCAAATACACATATTCAGATAGAGCTGGTGGATCATAACATCATTCACTGAAGTGCCTGTGTAACAAAGGTGATCTGAAAAGACTGACTCATATTCTGTCCCATACAAATATTCAGCGATGGCGCATGAGATAGATTCACAGGGATTTCATTGCGCAACACATAATTAAAACGCATACAAAAGAAAGAGAACCTTTGAAAATGCAATCAAGGAAAGATGATGAGGTCTCTTAAGTTCAAGTAACAATTTCTTTGCACTAGAAGACAGTTCAGGTCGTCAAAACAAAACGATCCTTCTTGTTCCCTTGTAAGGGGGAGTGGAGCTTGTTATTTGAAAGACTAGGCTTTTGAAAGTTAACTTTGCTGTTGGGATGTGCTCCTTGCACAAAGTGGTTCCTTACCAGGACCTAACTTCGTCTTAAAGGCTGGTTCTTACCTGGGAGAATGTTGATTCAGTAACTGGTAGTTAAAGGGAGGGATTCAAACAGCACACCTCCATTATTTTGGCAAAAGAATCCACTTATCAGTGCTGGGCCTGAAGCTGCTGCTGAACAAGACATGCATTTGCTTATTTTTGTTCGTTTTTACTGGCTCCTAATAATCCACGCTGTTCGTCTGGCCTGAAAGTGTGAGATGGAAATCTTCTGCTCAGTGCATTAATGAGATTGACCATCTTCCAGACATAATGTCTCTTCTCTAACCAACCTGTGACCTCTGAAGACTATTCTTTTCTATATATTGTCATTTGATAAAGAACTTTATTGTTCAAACTTTCACCACAGAGCTTGGGTTATTGCTAAGTACTGCCCCTCTAGGCCTATGCCTCCTATACAATGAGAAAATGTGCCATATATTTTTAAAAATACACACATAAAAAGTAATAGTTCCGGTTCAAATTAAATGGAATAGGAATAAAATGTTGCTTGGTTTAAATCAACAAAACCACAGCATTTTTATTTCACGTGTAAATTTCACATTTGGATGGAATTGGTTTGAAAGCTGAAAATGAAATTTTTCATTACTATATTTGCATCTATGATTTTAAATTAGATATGAATCTATAAATTGCACTGTATTTGTTATTACTTTGGCTTAAAGACAAAGATTCATTGACAGTCTTCAAAGGCATTAGCTAAAGGGAATTTGGGTATCATTTAAGTATTAAATATGCTAATTGTAAAACAAGATGGATTCACATTAAAATAGTTTCCCATTCTATACAAAAGGTTAGTGTTTTAACCACTGCAAATATATTGAAATAAATCCTATTCAATCGTGCTAAAAATATACCAATGTAAAAGATAACAGAACTCAGTGAAAAGTAAACAAAAAGACTAATTTCAGATTACTAATTATATAGCATTAAAATATTCTTTAAGGAGTTAGAAGTGCAGTCTGATTTGACAATAAGGGCATTTCTTGACCTTACAGAAGTTATAAGAAGCCAAATGAAGATATTATAGCCTAATAAGAATCTAGAAAGTTTCCATCATAAGTTCTTTCTATGTAGGAATGGGACACTGTTTGGTATTCTGATTTCTCTTTTTAAGGGATGGCTCAATGAATCAAGGAACTTCAATTTTATTATATAACTTATTTTCATTTCAAATTTTCAACAATAGAAATTTTATAACAATGTAATTTTAGTAAGGGGGGACTTAGAACAAGGAATATTGCATCTCTTTCATAGATTCTAGGAACTCTTCAAAGTGCTCTAAAAACACTATAAGTTTGATTAGCAGCAAAGCATTAGCCTAATCCAAATCCCCACTGCCCCCACTCATATGTACATATACACACTGTACATCCACATATTCTATTACTCTAACTTAAATATGACTATTTGATAGTTATTCCCAGAGGCTGTGCAAGGTTACAATACTGTCTACACTGTCTCCGGGTTCAAGACCACTAGCACCCAAGTGGTTAAGAGAGAACCAATCCTTTCATTAAAACAAACAAACAAAAAAAATTCAATCACATTTTAAATATCTTTTAAGATTAAAAAAATGGGAGATACAGTGAATCACCCAATATGTTATTATTTTGAGTCCTATAATTTTCTTTATCTAAAACTATTTTTTATACATGGAAGGCTAGATGTCTCTGAACTTAGCAATTCTAAGTATAAAATATTTCTTTGAAAAATATGACAAGGTGTTCATTTTTTCTAACTTGGAGGAAAGTTCTGTGAGGAGTGGGTTTTCTTCCCGCAGGTGAATTTGCAGCATCTTCTCCCAGGAGCACACCGGGAGCCCTGTCGTCCCGTGTGTAATGCATCCCAGGAATTGAGCCTCCAAGCACTGCTGCCCTCACAGAGCCTACCACCAGACCTCCAGAAAGAGGTCCTGCCAGCACCATGGCATCGTGGTCTTTTCTCCTCCACACTCTTTTAACAGCGCCCAGTCCTCAGGCATCTTGCAGTGGTGGCGGAAGTCCGGAACTTGAACTTCACTGGGAGAACCAAGTTCATTCAGAGTGCAGCATTTTCATCTTTTGGTTGGGTGGCTCTTGGTCCCCCATGGATAGGAGTGATACCTAGAAGATTCAGAAGTGGAGAGAGTTCTAGAGAGTCATGAATATTTTAGCTTACACATTCCATTTCCAGAGCAGTTGCTCAGGTGTATAAGTAAATAAATCACAACAAGTAAAAAAGCGGTTCTAAATGATAATAGAATGAGGAGATTTTTAGAAAGTAACCTTTTACTAATGTTCAGGGCCAACACAATGCCTTTTTCAAATTAGGAACTCAATAGGAACTGATAACCTTGTATAGTGCAAAAATAAACACCTATTCAAAGTAGCTTGTACATTTAAATGCCTATGCACATTAAATATTTTATATATTCATCAGTTAATGGGGGGAGGGGAGCAATGCAAATTGATTCAGTGTAGATCTCTTTTTATCTTGCATATCCCTATTTCTCAACACATATTTTATCGTTACAAAATAAAATATTAATGTTACCTCTAAGTATATATTTGTCATCTATTTGTTCACAGAACTCAGTTTTACTCTCACAAACAACAATGAGAACATTAAGGCATGCTAGGCTGTATCTTTCTGGTAAGAAAGTTAAATGTTTATGTGTCAAATATGATTAATCATATAACCCTAGAAATGATCTGCTTTGGGCTGGCCAAGTTTGTTTTGACCTTGTTTCATTTTCTTTACCCTGCTTTCTTCCTCTCCACTCCGGCCTACCTCCCCTTCCCAGAAGCCCAGAAATGAAGATTCCCCTATTTGGTTATGGTTTCTTGCTGCTATTTCTGTTTCTGTTACCATTTTTTAAAACTAATGCAGCATTTTGTGCCAGAGAGATTCTTTCTACCAACTGCCCCAGCACTATCCTCATTATTTGAATAGTTCTAGAAATCTTCCCAAAAATAGCCAATAGCTAGATGCCAGTGGCATGGCTCTATCCCTAAACAAAGTCTTTAAGCTGAAAATGTGTCATCTCTTGGCTTAATGCTTTAGTTGCTATCTTGATGCCTTGTAGATGTGTGTATAAATTTGGACAGTCTTAAGTTGTAAACAGGAATTAGGTATATAATTCTCTGTGCATTGTAATTTAATAACATTTTATAATGATAATGATGATGATGATGAAGATAATGAGAACAATAGCAGATCTGAGTAGACACTGGCAGAGGAGTTAAAACAATGTTTCCCATTTCTAATCATATTGCTAGAGCAGTTTTTCTCAACTTGTGTTCCCAGTAAAAGCTGAGGAATTACTGGGCTAAACAAAGTCAACAGTTTTCTTTCCTACAGTCCATCCCAGAGTCTTTAATATGGTATGTGTGTCAACATTCTTCACAAATGGAAAATTGTACATTCAGAGTTTCCCAAATATATTTATTCATGAAACTTTATTTTTCAGGGAACATCTATTAATATCTCTGGCAATATTAGCTCTTCTCTAAGAGGTATTTGGGAAAACACAATCTAATAATTCTAAATACCTATACATGTTCTGTGATAGTTAACATCCTCTATCCTTTGATTATAAAAAAATCATTACTGTCACAGCTGATTTGATTTGTATTTGAAATTATGTGTATTTCCAGCTTCTAAAGTATTAGGTTCTTCTAAGTAGAGCTTGAATTATTTCTTGGGAATTAATTTGGAATACCAGTAAACAAGTGATGGCTTTAAGCAAAACCAAGGATTATTTTTACTAGTCAACTGTAAAGAGTCTTTCTCCCAAGAAATATGTGTTGAGAAATAGGGATATTGCAAGATAAAAAGAGATCTAGAGTGAATCAATTTGCATTGCTCCCCCCACTCCCATTTAACTGATGAATATATAAAATAGATATTTAATGTGCATAGGCATTGCTAGTAGAAGCAGAAAAGGGAGTGTTATGGTTATATGGATTTATACATGGGTGAATCATTTTCATTTAAAGCATTTTCAAGAATATTTCATATATATCCTATGTTGCTTGAACTTGATCACTTAAATCATGTCTTCCTATTCTATTCACAATTCTGAATACAAATGTGAATAATTTTTTGCCTTTGTTATTAAGCATCTTATCTGTCTATCATAATAAGAGAATCTGAAATGTCTTTTAATACGGGAATATGTCTTTGGAAGTAGAAGTAATGTTTGATTTTATTTTTAAAATGTTATAGTAGAACTGAAAAACAAGCAAATTTTTCAAAATAAGGCTGAAATTGTTTTTTTTAAAGGAAAATTAGCTCATGTAAAAAGTTCTCTAAGTTCCTTAAACACCTGTTTTTTTCATTAATATTTAGTTGATTTTTCTGCAAAATACGAAGATAGTTATTGCCCATGATCCTGAGTCTCTGAGAAGATACAGATTAAAAACTGACAAGTATTACTTTTGCCCACAATTAAAACAAAGCACTTGAAATAAGATGCTAAGAGTCAAGAACAGAGACATTCACACTATCCATGGAAGGCTGAGTGTTCCCAGTCCGGGAGTAGACAGTGAAAAATTACATCTCTCCAGGAATGCTGGAAAGCTAGTGAACACGGAGATGGGGATTTCTATTAACAATATATCCTTGGAAAATGAGAATTACTCATCATTTCAGTTACAAATCAAAACAGAACTACATTTATGAAGGTAGTATTTTGGAAATATATTGCCACACCAAAAGAACAAGCAGTTGAATAATCTCATGTGTGATTCATAAGAACAACTCGTGAAACAGAAGGAAAAACAATGTTGGAAACTGAACTTACCTCACAAAGAATCTAATTTCCATAGAATGACCTTCACAGGATGTTCTTGGGCCCTCTTTCTCTCACCATGGCTACTAATAGTTATCTTTGGGGAAGACTTCTTGAATAATTTAAATCATGTCACAAGATAGTTTCACTAGTTAGAAAGGAAGGCAGCTCCTCCAGGCAATAAAAGGCCACTTTGGGAGAACAAACTCCATAAGACTGTGCTTCCTACAGCTACTTTTAGCCATATATAATGTGAATGTGGTTGCTTACTATCCATGCATATTCTGTGTGGCTTCTTGGAAAACTCAAGAGACAACTGGTGTGTAGTAGACACTGTCAATTCCCATATTCCTTCATCCTTACCACTTCGAAGCATGCCGGCCTGATTCTAATGGCCAGCATCTGCATTTCTTTTCCTTAAGAGTTTCTCTGGCCTCTAGAATAGGCTTTGTCCACTTTCCAGAAGGCCAGAAATGCCGGGTAACTAACATCTCCTGGGGAAAGGCCTCAAACAATAATTGATGGAAATTGGAGGAGTAGTGAGACCCATGTTCTACACAGGCTCTCAGATTCTCTGGTGGGATTAAGCTCCAGTCATCTACAATGGTAACTTGCTTGGGGAAGAGATCATTAATATTTAGTTGATTTTTCTATTGAATGATCTCTTCCCCTACCAGTGCTTCCTGGAATTGCCTCTTAAATAAACTAATTGTACTCAAATCTTTGTGCCCAACACCATGCCCAAGAGTAAAACTGTAGGAATCCAGAACTGGACTAAATTGACAAAATAGAGTATATTTTTAGAGCATCAATAATGGTTATAGTAGAAGATACTATACAACCCCTGTATAGGGTACTCAAATGGCAACACATAACAACAAGTCCCTCTCTCACAAACATAAAGTGACCAGAAGTGATTGTTTTGCTGCATTTTTCCTCTTGCATCCTATACAAGCAATGGGTAGATTTCAGGGATAGAAATCTGAGATTACAGCTCTAATGGAATGGAGAAAACAACTGCTTAATTTTTTTTAAAAAAATCTAAAAATGATTTTCCATTTTACTGTGTTCATATTTTTATGGGAGTAAATTACTACTAAGTGGTCTCCCTTTCTTTTCAACAACACAGCATCAGTACAAAGGATGAGCAACATATATTCTACCAATGTTATATCTCGTCTGAGACAAGATATTTTACAAAAGTGTTGAAAATAAAAGTTGGGAAAGCCCTCTGGAATCAAATATAGAGAAACCAGATCTAATATCCAATGATCTCAAATGATATTTCAAATTGGAAAGCAAACTCTAGAGCTCACCTGTTAGAAGTAAAATTGTAATAACCACTTTCCTCTAGGACTTCTTCAATCACAGTCTACAGTTGGAAAAAAAATCGGGTTAGCATTGAGTTAAAAGCAACAAAATAAAATCATCCAGAGGTACTGCCGAAACCTCACCTGCATCTGCTCATACGTTATTCCCTCCTCCAAGTCAAAGCTGGTGGGGAGGCCTGCAATAAATGATGGAAAGTCTGACATTTGGTTCACATTTTCTTAGTTAGACTTTATTGGCAATTATGGCTCAACTGCAGGGAGAACAGGTCAGTTTTTTAATGATGAAGATGAGTACTTGCAAACATTCTAAATAGTCTTGGCTTAGAGCAGTCAAACTTTTTCTCTTCCTTTAATACATAGGTGCTTTTGAGGTAGCCATCACAAAATAATACACAAAGGTTTAGGGTATTCCTCCATTAAGAGAGAGAGAGAGAGAGAGAGAGAGAGAGAGAGAGAGAGAGAGAGAGAAGTGATTCCAAACTGCAACTACCTGATGGGTGAGTGTTCTGATCATTGAACTCTTACTAGTCCACAAGGTAGAGAATAGATAAGTGCCAGAAAGAAGATAAATTTTTAGAAGGAAGCAGAAATAGACAGTAAAAGGTAACAAAAGACCTGACCCTTTCCTACGGCTGCCTAGAGGGAAATAAAATCTATACATTTAATGCCAAAAGGCAATACTTGTTTTGATGTTTGGTCTGAGTATGATATGCTAACACCGTAAGCCACCCTGATGCCACCCAAAGCAACATCAACCAGCTTCCACGCAAATCAATCAACACTGACTTGTGGATGCCCTGGGGCTCCCCTGCCAGTTTGGAGAGAGAAGAAAAAAAATGGGTTGAAGGTCAAGGGGAGGCATGAGCATGGGAGGTGTGAGGAAGCTTGCTTTTAAAGCCCACGGGGTCTGCTGTCTTTGCTTTTGCCCAGCCTGCTGTGGCAAGGGGTATTCCTGGTCTACTCTGGGATGGGGTGTCCAGCTGTCCACTTGCTCTCAGGCCACAGAGAGACTTCTGCCAGACTCTTCAGTTCACAGAGCTGCTGTTGTCAGAAGGCTCACCTGCAGACTGACTCGCCTGCCTGGGAGATGCTTTCAAAAGCAAATGTTTATCTTCACCTAATGGATTTCTCGGGATCTATTTCACGTGAAATTCTGCCTACACAGGCTAGCTTTATCCCAGGAATCGAAGACGTAGGGAAAATTTAATAATTAATACATGAAATAATTTGCCTACATTAGGCAACCACAAAGACACAACCAAAGTGAGTATTTTTCTAGGCTGAGATGACAAGTCTTCATTTAACTGTAAACTTGACTTCTATCCATTCCACTGAGTGATGTAACTATAGTTTACAGGGACTCAAAAACTATGGGGTAATTCTGAAACCTCAAGTAGCTTGAAAACTTCTGAGAGTTCAAATGTCACAAGACATGTAACATGTGCTGAGCCCCTACTAATGGCCAAGCACTTTTTCCGAGTTTACACGGATCCTCACTTTAACTCTGTGATACTAGTACCATTTTTATCCCCATTTTATAGGCAAGGAAACTGGATGCAGAAAGGTCAAATAACTTGCCCAAGATCAGCTACTAAATGGATGAGCCCAGATGTGAATCTAGGCATCTATGTCTAGAATCTGTAAGAATCTGTACCTTTAGTCCCTATGCTATATATAGCCCCCTGATGTGAGATTTGTGCAAAAGAAAAAAATTAAATATGTCGGATGTGGATCCTTCACATAAGGTTCAAATTTTCTCCATTTTAAGTATTCAAACTCTTCATTTCTGCTTTTTATTTCCCTGGATGCTTTGGGGCATTTGATTTGTCATCACCAGATAAGCAAGAAGAAATAAAAGGAAATATAATTCACCCACACGGACTCTGCTGTTTGTTTACAGTATTAATGATCAAGGAAGCTGCCACAACTAGGGAATTTCTAGATTCCTACGGTATCCCTTGGAACTACTTTTCTAGACAATCAAAATAAGCTCTATTTTTCTTTTAAATTGAAGATTATAATCTTTAAAGGTAGGTCTCGCTCCAACAGCTATATTTCTCTGTGAGCGTCAGATTTCCCATAATGGCAGGAGACCATTACCTGCCGGTTCACTTGGGGACAGACTGTTTCCACCTGCTGAGTGATGTAATAAATGATAATCCGCCGTGAAAAAGTTGGGCTCGATCGGTTCTGGAGATCCCTGAGATAACTGGAACAGAAAAAGCAAAACCACATCATCTTTTACACTCAGAAGCAAATGGCAGGAGGCCTCTATGTGAGCTTTTTCCATTTCCCTGCGACTGCACAGAAAATTTAGTGCTCTGTGCATTTCAATCCCTTGTAAATAGATAAACACACATCTTCTTCCTTCCAAAATAATGTATAAATCAGAAACAGCCAAGTTACACCGAGAGCAAGTTAGATAATTCCCTGGTCATATGAAAAGAAAAAAAACTCTACACTTTATAGCTTTATGAGAGCGAAATAAAAAATAGATAGAAAAATAATGTCACGGATTGGGACATCAAAATGTGGTGTTTTGTTTTGTTTTAATCATGCGTAGGTGGAATGAACTTCAATTATTCAACAGAACAATATGTTTAGCCCAAACCACCTATCGGTTTTGAACAATGCCTTCTTCTTCTACCAAAGCAAACACATTTCTTAATACATTTTCCTGAATAACTATTAATTAATTTTAATTTCCACACATTGATTCCCAACACTCTAAAGCAGTGGTTCTCAACCTTGGCTGCACATTAGAATCACCTGGAAATCTTTTTAAAATCCTGATTTCTGGGCCCCATCCTCTGGAAATTTTGTTTCTTTGTTATGGGGTGGGGCCACAACATTAGTAACAAAGAAACAGAATTTCCGGAGGATGAGGCCCAGAAATCAGGATTTTAAAAAGATTCCCAGGTGATTCTAATGTGCAGCCAAGGTTGAGAACCACTGCTCTAAAGGAAAGAGTAATTCACCAAATGACAGAATTTATTGAAGTTGCAATTGTTTAATGCCCTTCTGTGCAGTTGAAATTTTTAATGAAATTTTTTACTATAAACATTTTTTATCCTCCTTTCACTTTTAATTCCAACCAGCATGTGGACTGGCCAAGGTTTAGTGCCTGTGTTAACATAATATACTTTTAAAATGTCAACTCATATTAACAAACATATGGCACAATTTGGACCACATAATAGTGGTTACCTTGGAGTCATATACTCTGTTAATGAATTAAAATACATCATAGTGCCCTAGCCGGTTTGGCTCAGTGGATAGAGCGCCGGGTGGTGGACTGGAGGGTCCAGGGTTCAATTCCGTCAAGGGCACATACCTGAGTTGCCGGAACCAGTCAGGGTGCCTATGGGAAGCAACCAATTGATTTGTTTCTCTCACATCAATGTTTTTCTCTATATATCTCTCCCTGTCCCTTCCACTCTCTTTAAAAAAAATCAATGGAAAAATATCCTCGGGTGAGAATTAACAACAACAACAACAACAACAAAACCCATAAAATAAAATACATCATGTTCAATCACTTGGGAAAACTGTTTGGCAGTATATATTAAACTTAAACAACATATGCCTCCCCTATGACTCAGCAATCCCACTCTTAGGTAGCTACACAAAAGAAATGACTATGTCTGTCCATCAACAGAAATGTATAAGAATGTTCATAGCACTTTTGCTCACAATAACCCTAAACTATAAACAGCCCTAATGTTCCCTGGTAGCAGGAAAACAGAGATGCTGTGTTGTGGTGTGCTTACCCAATGGACTTCTTTAAAGCATTGAGAAAGAACAGACTCTGGACACCCACAGCAAATGGGTTGAGCAAAAGAACCAGAATCAAAAGAATACAAAGTATATGACTTCACTGATATACATTTTCACCATCAGGCAAAACTAACTGATGGGGATAGAAATCAGGAAAATAAGTGCATTGTGTCAGCGGCCAGGAAAGGGCAGGCAGGAGCCTTCTGGGGGAGGAGAACTGTTCTGTGTCAGTGTAGGTGGTGGTCACATAGGGGAACATATGTGTTAAAGTTCAGGGAGCTGTAAATGTATCTCTGTGTGCATTATGCATTTTATACCTTAATAAAAACATTTCATATTAGCAACATATATCCCATGAATGCACTTTGGATGCTGTAAAAACAAACCATTTGTGTTTTTCAATCTCCATGTTGCCAAACACTACACTTTAGAAAAAAATATAGTTCTATCCTTTTACATTCCTGAAAACTTGGGTGTTAAGGGAGTTCGTTGCTGCTTGTTTAGTTTCTAGACCACTTTAGTGAAAACATTAGAAAATATCGGTATTTTTTAAAAAGATGTGATTTATCATAAATTCATATTCATTCCTATTGATACTTCCTATTCTAATTTGAGTGACCATCTGCTATCTTGTTTGTTTCTCCTTCCTCCCATACTGGAAGTTCTAGTTCCCAGAGACACCTACACAATGACTCGGATGCTTTATTCCTCTGCAGCTCTGGCCAAGGTGGAGACCACTGGATTGAAGAGCACCTCAGGTGAGTTATGAATAAGGACCTTCATTTGTTAGAAAAGGGATTTTCCTTTTTATTTATTTATTTTTAATTCCTCTCTATAGCCTGGTGGGTCATAGCCACAGTGATCCCATAACAACTCCTTCAGACTAGAGACCTGGTCCCTAAGTTTCAGGAGAAGTTCCAGAGGGGAAGGTGGAAATCAAACGCGTTTGACGTGCCCTCACCACTCGCTGCTTCCAGGGCCCTGGTGGGTGACCGTGTCAGTCGAAGGCTAGTTGGCCACTCTTCCGTGGTTGTACAGGGGATGAAAAATCCATCTCTGAACAAAAGTCATCATTAACAAGAGATTATGCCAGAAAGGAGGAAAAACAGAGGCCACTGGTTCTTCTCATTTAGATTTAGGTGGGGCAAGGAGGGCTTCCTTCTATATTCATATGTGAATATATTATATAGAACCAACATAGAATATATTATACGGAATATATATGGAATATATTCTATATTCAACAGCTACACATCAAGCACCTACCATGCGCCAGGCACTGTGCAAGGCCCTGAGGGAATCAAAGAAGAATAAGACACATTTACTGCCTTTGGGAAAAACAGGAAAGTAAGGCAGATGACAAGGTACTTAAAACACAGCAATATGTGTGAGAAGAGCCTGAAGTATGGGGAAAGGAAGATGAATTCTGGACAGGGAAATGATGGAAGGTTTTTACGAAGGAGTTGGCTTCTCAGTTCAGTGGTGAAGGATAGAAAATATGTTGATATCCCAGGATGAAGATTTCTTTAGCACCTAGGAGATGAGGACCGACTGACTCAGGAGGGTAGACACCATGGTGCGTGAACCACCACAAGCTCCTATCAGAGGAGGGGACCGGAGCTCTCTTCATAGGAGAATTTAATCTGCCTCTTAACCAAGGTGAAATTAAAGATGAATTGATGCCCCTTTGAATCCCCTCACCCATGCTCCCTGAACACCTGCCACCACCCATCCATTCCTGCTTCTACCTCCCCAGACCAAGGACAGAAGGCAGGTGCTCTAATGAGAGATGCCGCCATCATACAGAAGCAGGCAGATAAGGTTGGGGTGCAATTTAACGAAAGGAAGTCTCTCTTCTATTAGGAGAGAAAAGACAGCAGGGAAGGGATCAAAAGTGAAAACCTAAGTAATCAAAGAGAAAATGATTTGCTTTGAAGACACACACGGATGGAAAATTACTTCGGGGGAAGAGCCGCGCCACCTTTGTGCACCAGACCGTTCGTGTCTGGCACTTTCATCTCCTAAAGCTGGGATTTCTGTTAAAATGAATTTTGTGTACAACCAGGGTTATTCTGAATATCATTTTAATAAGGATATAAAAACCTTTTCATCTTTTCAGGGGAGATTGGAGCTTCTGTCTTTTTAAAATCTATTTATTGGTATGAGTGAGATGATACAGAAATATGTTAAAATAAATATTGATCTGCGGCCTCCCCCACTTCTGTTCTGATCTCCCCCAGCTTTGTTGCTTGGCCTTATTTGCCAACACAGCCCATGGAAGAAACCCGGCTCTCTAATCTCTGGTGAGGCGGGCTTAGGCTTTGTTTACCTGCTGCTGTGCCTTTTATTTTTTCCATCTCCTGTGTGTGTATGTGCAGCCACCACCGATGTAAGGTAACAAAGCCAACACACTGTCTGAATTTCTTATCAAAGAGCCTGAATAATGAGCACATTTATGTCTAAGATTGGAGACACTGAAGGAAAAAGAAACCTTAAACAATGTCATTAGAAGCATGACTGTGCCAATGTTTAAGTATCTGATGAAACTTTTTAAAATTATATGAAATTGGAGTGGGACCAAGGATCTGTACCCAGGTGGGCCCAAACTGCCCGGGTCTTGGGTCTTTCGGGGACAGGAATGGGAGCTTATGACCATCTTCACGCCTGTATTAAAATGCTATTGAGCAGGACAAAGGGATTTCCTGTCACCATGTTGTTAAACAGAAACAATTTTCTTCCTGTCTGGTTGACTTGACCTCGTTGTGATTTAGTTTCTGAATGTATGAATAGAAATATTTACTAGCACCTGACGTCTAGGAGGTGGTAGAATGTCAAGATGGAAAGAACCTTACAAATAGTTCAGCCTATTTGTAAGGTTCTCAGAGGTGATAAAAAATCATGGTTGAGATGGTTACGTGACTTGCTCAGACTGGCAATGCTCAATTTAGGGACTTGTTGAAGAACATGTCTAATAAAAAATTGGGATAGAGTTCTCTAAAACAAAATTAAAGTCTATTTAGAGTAAAAATATTTACTAACATTTAGTCTTAGGAAAACATGCAATAATATGGAAAGAACTTTCTGCTGGTCTTCTGAGAATAGTGACTTCAGACATAAAGGTGAGAAAATGAAAAACAAAGACAGTCTACGGCCATACCACCCTGAACGCGCCCGATCTCGTCTGATCTCGGAAGCTAAGCAGGGTCGGGCCTGGTTAGTACTTGGATGGGAGAAGCAAAGACATATTCTTGACTTAGTGTCTGAAGCAATCTGAATGTTTGTCCCCCCAAATTCATATGTTGAAACCAATCCTGAAGGTGGTTGTATTACGAGGTGGGAACTTTGAGAGGTAATTAGGTCAGAGGAAGGAAGCCTTCTATAAGTGCTCTTATTTTAAAAAATGCCTTTATAACAGGGGCCTAGGTGGGCTCCCCTGTCTCCTCTGTCACGTGTGGATGCAATGAGAAGTAGACAGTCTACAACCTAGAAGAGGGTCCTCAGGCTGGCACCCTGATCTTCGACTTCCAGCTTCCAGAACTGTAGACAATAAATCTCTGTTGTTCATAAGCTCCTTGGTTTATGGTGTTTTTGTTATAGCAGCCTGAATGGACTAAGAAAATAATAAGACCCTTTAATAGAGGAGAGAGTAGCAGGCAAAGGAGGTGGGAAATTTAACTCAAAGGATGTGTTTTTGTTAGCCAAAGAAGAATTCCTAAATGTAGAATACCATACCTTTTTAATTTCAGATTTCAAATTACAAGGGTTACTCTGCTGGCTGAAGAGGGATTTCTTGAATCTCTCTATAACCCTTCTTTTCAAATTGTGGTGCAACGCTGGAGGAAGCTGTATAAAGTGAGAAAACAATCATTATAAGCAAATTGTTCACACTGCACAGCTGACTGACTCCGGGGAAGCATTTACTGGGGGTCAGTGTAACAATATTCGCTCAACAGGACTAAATAAGAATTTAAATTGTACTCCAAATAGCATGAGTCTATGTTACAATTTTTAATTCTATAATCCAGAAAAAATATATTACTCTGCTGCCTTTCAAAAGGCTGCTTAATTTATCTTACTGTTCTTTCATTGTATTGACATTCTTTTTCATATAACAACTAAATTATATTAATTGCACATGTAAATTGACTTTTGTAAAGAACAGACTTGACGAGGAAGAATGTATTCTATCAGGTATTTAGGTGTCTGGCTCATGCTCATAAGCAAAAACCATGCTTACTCTCTAACCAAGGCCCTGTCCTGAAGGCTCTGATACTTTGGACCAGGAAGCACATATCTGCATTAGCACATAATCAGATGCCTGCCTGGGAGTGCTCCTGAGTATACAGCTGGACACTGTAGAGACCAATCTTATCGAGAAGGAGAATGGCCCTAGCTGGTTTGGCTCAGTGGATAGAGCGTTGAACTGCAGACTGGAGGGTCCCGAGTTCAATTCTGGTTGGGGGCACGTGCTCGGATTGCGGGCTCCATCCCCAGTGGGGGGTGTGCAGGAGGCAGCCGATCGGTGATTCTCTTTCATCATTGATTTTTCTATCTCTCTCTCCCTCTCCCTTCCTCTCTGAAATCAATAAAAATATCAAAAAATATATAATAGCCTCTAAAAATAAAAAAGAGAGAGAGAGAAGAGAGAGAGAGCTGGAGAGAATGAATTAGTACACATGAGGGCTAAGCCAGGATGAGTTAGGTTTAATAAGTAGTTGGAAGTCACTGCAGAATCTTAGAAAATGTGGGATTGGATGACAATGGGGATTTCAAAAAATTGTTTTTTTACTACTTTGAAGGTTGGATTTATACAAGGAAATCAAAGGTCCTAAAAAGCACAGAGGGGTAAAGTGAAGTTTGGGAGATGGATAACAGAGAAAAAATAGGGTCAACATGATAAGGAGTCTCCTGGGGAAAATGGCATTTGGTTTGTTGAAATATGGAGAGGTCTTGCAAGGAGAGGAAAAGGAACCAGTAAGAAAAATGAAAGACTAAATAGGAAGAAAAATGTGGTAGTAGGAACTCTAACGATTTAAAAGAAAACACAGAGCTCAGATCAAAAGAAAGAGTAATGTGGCAGAGATGATTATTACTCCACCCCCCTCTTACAGTTTTAGTTTGGTGCCATGTGACTACTTGTGACAAGTGAAAATGACATGTGTCATTCTAAGATTAAGGCCATGCAAAACCAATGTTCTTCCTCCATCCCTGCCCCTCCTCTAGGGCAAGAAGCTTGGAGTCCTGATGCCAGAGCCACAGGTGAACGACAGCCAACGTTAGCTGAGTGAGAAGTAGACCTCTATTGTGACAAGTCAAGAGACTCCAGGGTGCATCTGTTAGTGCAGCACAACTTAACATATCCTGACTAATACAATGGACATCTATTATTCAAGTTCCACAAAACAGGGAGATATATAAAAGGTAATAGTAGAGCACTGAATAAGGTCTACAGGAGCTCACAACCACTGATTTTATAGCAAAAAAAAACTATTCATAAGCTCAAACACAATAGAATACGGAATCCATTATGAAGCATGGTAATGATATAAAATAAGAATAATGCAATTGAAAAAAGTTTTAAAATGCATCTATAATCCTAGTTAATCCTCTGACTTTGCTTGAGTCAAAGCAGTTTAATTACAGAAGAATTAAGACGGGAGATTCAGAAGCCCTTCGGTGTACCCTGAAAGGTTTTATAGGTTGACTGCACTGAACCTCTGCTGATCTACTTTTACATCAATATTATGGCTTGTTTTACCTTGAGCCAGACGCGATTACTACTTCCTACCCCAGGCAAAGAGTCGTAATTAATGCTGCCCTTTAATAAAAAGGGGAAATCAAGAAATGTAGAGAGACAGATTTCTCAGCATTAATGAGCAAACAGCTGGAAGACAGATGAGAAGGAAAATGAGTATAAATGACATTTGTGTGCATGAGAGACTAGCAAAAGTGGGTGAATTTAACCTGAAGTGCATCAGACTATGAAGAGGAGAGCATGTGCATGGTTTCATAGCAAGGGGGTGATGGGTTGGAGTGGAAAAGAAATGGGAAAAGTGCCTGAGCGAGATACTTTTGAATTTGATAATTTCCTACTGTTACCCACCAGAAGTTGCCACTTCCCTAAGTTAAACACCAGGTGGTAGTGTTGGCCTGGTACTGTCTAGTAGCTGCCCAGCATGGTCCCCACTGTCAGAGAGAAAGGCAGAAAGTCTGTTCTGATACACCTAATTGTCTGCTATTGCAAACTTTTGAAGATGTGAATCATCAGTGGTCCATAGATTCCTTTAAAGGCGGCTTACCCCAGTACTGGCAGCTACCAGTATCAACTTACAAATTCAGATGCTCGTAAAATCCTTATTATTTATTTAACTTAATGAGCCTTATTTTACTTCTCCTGATGGCTTGAATTAATCCTCATGAAAACTTTCTTGAGTAAGCTAACATTCCATCAACCTAAGATTCATATTCATACACAGGGCGGTATTAAAAAGATATTGTATCTTATTAGAATAACTATCACTGGACAGCACTGCATCTTTAAAGTTTTCATGAAATAATTTAAAATTTTATCCAGTTGCAGATGACATAAGTATAAAAATATATAAAAACTATAGTACTAAGAATAAAACATGAATACCTATGATTTCTATGTGCCAGGCGCTCTGACTACTCTTTTATGCACAGTAAGGCACGTTTTTCCTACAACGAACTTATAAAGCAGGTACTATTTTATAGGTGAGGAAAACGGAGCTTAAAGACATTACATAACATGCAAGGATGCTTCCTGAGGTAGTGAGTCCTCTTGCCCAACCAATAATCTGGAGCAAATAGCGTCACCACAAGCTGTACTGTAGTATAGTACTTTATCATTTGTAAACATCTCATAGTCTTTCTTTTCTTTATCACAATAGCCCCATAAGCTGCCTGAATTTTACTGATGAAGGAAATGAGTCTAGAAAAGATAATGACTCACACGTCTAAAAGCTTGATTTTCATTTGTTTGTTTTCATTACAAAGTAACAAAAGGAAAAATGAAATCCGATACATATGTTTTATAGGTTTTCCCAAACTTGCTTAATATATGGATTCTTTTTAAAAAACATCATTCTCTAGTATCTCCAAGAATACATCGGCAGACCATTTGGAGTCCGTGGGGCTCCATCTGATAGTGACTTAATATCTTTTCCATAATAAAAACCCTATTCTGACATATTACTGCTTAAGAGATTTCTCTAAATGCTAAAGTAAAATGTTCCAAGATTATCATCAAAATAAATACACAAAATGTAAGACTTTCTCTTAGAATTAACAAACCCTGCAAGCCTGAGTTCATTTGAGAAACACAGTGTTACCCTAAATTCTATTTAACCTGTCGCCCTCGCCATTAGGACCCAGGAGATCCAGATGCGAGGGTGTGGATGGTTCTCTTTCCATCCGTCATCACTTATGAGAAAGGCAGTATGTTTCACAGTCCATAGTGCAACTTGCATCTGCGGACGGCACAGTGCTCTTCCCAACCAGATATTTTTGTTCTGTTGGCAATGTTTGTGGTTGATAAGATGGAGATGCAAAATGCAAAGCAGCTCTGGCCAAACTGCCTGTCTGTTCTCTGGGAGACAGATGTTTAATTCTTGAAAGAAGCTCTATGCTAATTTTCAAAGCATTTATTTAACAAAACAACCAAACCCTAAATGCCGAGTTACATCCAAAGCTGATGTTAGCTAGGCAGGTCTTACCTTAGGGAAAACACACAGAGACTCAGCTAAAAGGTAACATATGTACTTGGTCACCTGATATACCCAGAGATTGACTTTGGCTTCCAGCGATGGAAATGAACCACTGATTTCATTCTCAGCTTTTTGGTCTTAAGATTATAGCTCAGCGTTGATTAAAACATGTCAAATCAGTGAAGGCAGGGTAAGGATTTTAACATCCTGCCTTTTAAAATAGTTGCTCTTGGATGATTTCTACAGATCTGTCTCCATGGAAACTGGAGAGAAAAGGCCACCTCCAGCCAAAAGTGAACCGTTTCCCCTGTCAGGTCATCTGCTGGCTGTCAGGAGGGACCAGCCCGGCCCTGCAATCCGGGTCGGCCTCCACAGCCGAAGTCTGAGGGTTTGACTAGTAAATAAATGTGTGGACAAGAAGATTTTTTTTGTTGATTCATTTTGTCTTGTCAATTCCATTTTACTTTGAGCAACTGGCAGAGAGAGAGAAAGTGATCTTGGTCTTGAACCTCCAGCAAATTCACTACTATAATGGTTAGACTTGTCTTTGTCTCCTGTGTTTGAAAGGCATTGACTTTAGTTAGCCCTGTAATGTAAAGTTCCCCAAAGAGGGATCATTCCTTACTATGTGCAACGTCATAAACTTTAAAGGGTCCTGGAAATGCAATTTAAAAAACCACAATGGTTATATCTGAACTTACAGCAAGGAATGCCATCTTGCCAAAAAATGTGAAACCATTTGTTATGCTGGCAGTGTGAGAGTATAATAGTAAGATCATCATAATAGTTTCATTCTTGCTTTAAAATAGGTTGAAATCTAATAAAGTTATAGAATACATCCATTAAAAAGTTTTTTATTATATATAAATTAGCAAGACAGGCATGTGAACACTATATTTAAATTTCAAAGGATATTTTCTCTCAATTTATGAGTTAATCATTGAGGCAACCAATAAGCTATTTAAAGCTATTTCCATAACACTGAAGTTAAGAATGCTTTCCCCATATATCTATGTCAGTATTTAAGTGGAAACGCAATTTTGAATATAATATCTGTACTCAATAGAGATGTGGCACATTATATTTGATTTATTAACCAAGTCCCCCACCCCCATCCTCCTACTGAGAACTTGGAGATGGGGAGGTCCCAGAGAAAGGTCTCCCATGTCTGCCCTGCGGCTCCAGGTTATGTGTGCCAGCTGTTGATTTATTGCCTCTTAGCTCCAAATACACCCTTCACTGCCCTGCTTGGGATACTGGACTACTTCTCCCCTGCCAGCTGGCAGGATGGCCGGCTGTATCAGAGAAGGCACTGAAGGGATGCACTGAAAAGACAGTGGAGGAGGGCGGAGCTTGTCCCCGATTTATTGCCTCTTAGCTCCAAATACACCCTTCACAGCCCTGCTTGGGATACTGTACTACTACCCCCTGCCAGCTGGCAGGATGGGCGGCTGTATCAGAGAGGGCGCTGAAGGGACGCACTGAAAAGACAGTGGAGGAGGGCGGAGCTTGTCCCTGCTTCCCCGGATGCTCCTGCCTTGCCCTGGGCCTTTAGCACGAAGCAGTCAGAGCAATGGGGTCCCCCCAGCCAGATTCAACCCTGCAGGTGGCTTCCCAGAGTCCCTGGGGTGGCACCTACCCGTGGGCAGCCTCCTGGTCCTGTAGAGGGCACTCCCCATCACACCATGCTCACGTGCTGATTTCCAGCAAGTTCCATGGTAGGACACCTCCTCATCGGTGGCTCACCCCAACCACCCGAGGGAGGCTGCCCTGCGAGTTTCCCTAGAACGTGCAGCACCTCCGTGGACTTCTCTGACCTTTCCAGGGAGGTCTGGACCTCAGCCCAGGCTGGGGTGTCCCCTTCTATTCTGTCCCTTTCGTGTGCTCTGCCCCGGGACTTTAAGTAGTGACTCCCCTCTCTGCTCCTCCTTTATTTTCTAAATTTCTCTTCCTCTCCTTAGTAGATGAACAATCAAGCCAGACACATTTCTGTAAGTACTTGGTAGCCATTTTTAAACAGTGCTCGCTTCCCCAGGGCCAGACAGTTGCTGAGGTTTAGAAAAAGGGAGTTTTCACAATCCTGCATTTTCTGTGCTTACAGTTTTCATTTCTCTGAGAGGTCCTGGTTTTAAGCCAGCACCCTCAGGACTTGTGGGTGGACATTACTTTCCTCTTTCCTGCCTGCGGTAAAGCTGTTTCAAAAGCCCATCTCGGTCCTCACTTTCACCCCACACTGACGGCACATTCGCACTGAAGTTTGGTTTGGGTTGGGCACTAACAGTGAAAGAGCAGGGAGGAGGTCACAGGGAAAACCAGCCAGGTTTGCTTTCTTTATTCTATCTCCCTAGCTCTGCTGCTAAGCCATGATGTCCCCAGATATTTGTAGCTGGGGAGGATAAAAACAAGTACTCACTCAACTAAACGTTCCACGAAGTCTGTAAGCAATATTAGCAGCAGATTTATATTTAAGATGAAGAGGAAATGAAAGGCTAAAACACTGACCTGCGTGATGTAGATGATTTTGTGCAGCTGAATTAAGATCTGCTGAATGGGATCACTGATCTGACGGACTTTCCTCTGGGATACAGCCATCCCTGCAGATGCTGTGGATGATATGTTTTCAGTTAGTCAAGACCCTGGTTGTCTCTCTTAAAAGGGATTATTAGTAGAAAATGGGGTAAGATTCTGAAATAAAAGTTAAGCAAAGACCTTCATCCTACCAATGAGACAATATGTTGGGACCTTGTAACACTGCAATATTTTATAATAGGGGATGCACAAGTTCTTCCTTTTACTTCTCGGACTTCTACTTTCTAACATCTGGAAGACCAGTTATCTCTTGGAATTTTTCCTGCAATTACATGAGGCTGCCACCAGGAGTCACTGGCAGCCGTCGAAAAGCTGAGATTCAGATATGTGCCGTTAAGAGAATATCATGCTTTTAAGTGTTTAATTCATCTATGCAAACACTGAATAGACAATCTTACAGAGAGGGAAAAAAATTCCCCCCAATAAAAAATTCTAAGTAACAAAAGTTCAAATTAAGTAACTTTCAAACTCTTGATTATTACAAATTATAATTTTCACCTGGATTTCTGTCCAGATCTCAATAGGACACATTTATAATTTATCCCAAATTCTCATCATAGAGCCACACTACTTTCACAGTTTTAGGCGAGGTTGGTGTCAAGTACTATTTTCTTTATGGGTATCTTTATTGAGTTAGTTAAGAAATTCACACAAGAAACAATCTAGTTCTAGTTCATCTGCATTTAATACTTTGTTTAATGGTTTAAATTTAAAGGATCTATCTTCCCTAAAAACTGTGTCTAACTCCTTTTAAGCACCAATTACTTGACCATTAGAATGAAGTTTAATAAATTACTCTTGGGGTAAAAAGGTGAAGGTAAATCAGAAAGAATTAAGATAGCTCTAAAACAGAAAACAGAGAGCTGGAGCTACAGCCTGCAGAGATGACTGAGAGTACATGTGCCATATTTTCTCCAGTGGTGGTTTCTTCCCGAAATAATTGTGAAAATGCAACTGTTTGTCCCGTGGTCGGCAAACTGCGGCTCGCGAGCCACATGCAGCTCTTTGGCTCCTTGAGTGTGGCTCTTCCACAAATTACCACATGCGGGCGCGCACATATAGTGCGATTGAAACTTCGTGGCCCATGCGCAGAAGTCGGTATTTTGTGGAAGAGCCGGTATTTTGTGGAAGAGCCACACTCAAGGGGCCAAAGAGCCGCATGTGGCTTGCGAGCCATGGTTTGCCGAACCGCAGTTTGGTTTTTTTTGGTTAAGACCCATAGCAAAAATTAGAGACCATGTAATGTGGCCAAGTTGATGTTGCACCAGGAATATTAACTTGGCATTTTCATAAACTAAACAGCTTAGTTCTTGATCATTTTTATGTTGCCCAGTTTATGTTTTTGATATGTGGACTTAATACTCCTAGGAAACGAGTTACAATCTCCCAGCCTGGCAGAGCGTTCTTAGATTTGTGATGACATTTTGAGTGGAATGTCACATGGGTTTGACTCTACCTTGCCACAAGAATGTGCTCATCTGTGGCCCTAGATACAAAAACAGAGATGGTTAGCTAGAATGCCTGTATTCTGAATTACTCAATTATGCAAAATAACGTAAACTTGTTTTTCTTAAGAACCTTTGACTATTCTCCCTCAAGTCCAATAAATCTTTGTCTTTGGAAAATAGTTTTGATTGCTTACTCTCTAAAAAATAAATTAAAAATGTTTCATTACACATGCCCCTTGTAAAACAAGCAAACAAACATATTAACAACCTAAGTATTACAGAAGACCAGGAGGCCCTTTGGAACCACCACCCATCAGCCTCCTCCCCAGAGGTAGCCTCTGCTATCAGCTTGGTGTGTTGCCAAGTCACTTTTCTCTCCATTTACATACATAAGCTTTAACGTCACAACAGTATTTTTCAAACTGTGGTTGATCCTGAAACGAGTTTAATGGGCCATGACCAGCATTTTGAAAAATGGGATGGAATGAAGTGGAACAGGATAGAAAACTTTCAGAGTGCACTGCATGTAGCAAGAGTTCACTCATTCAAGATATAAAATGTGTTTCTTCTTGAGGGTCATTGCCAAAAGATTTTGAAAACTACTATTGTAGAAAATCTATAGCATTAGCTTATGAATTCTTTCTCTTTTTAAAAATATATGGTGATACATCATAAGACTTGTTCGATTTTTTCTCATTCAGTCTGGCATGGAGATTCTTTTTGCCAACACAGAGTTCTGGCTCATTCTTCATACCCACTGTTGAGTAGCACTGAGCATTCTGCATGCAGCACAGTTTACTTAGCCACCTCTGTCTTGTGGGGGTTTTTTTTGGTTAATCCTCACCCAAGGATGTTTTTCCATTTATTTTTAGGGGAAAACAAAGAGAAACATCGATGTGAGAGAGACACATCGATTGGTTGCCCCCTGCACAAGCCCCAACCAGGGCCCGGGCCGGGGAGGAGCCTGCAACAGAGGAATGTGCCCTTGACTGGACTCAAACCTGAGACCCTTCAGTCTGCAGACCAAAGCTCTATCCACTGAGCCAAACCGCTAGGGTGTCACCTCTGTCTTGATGGGTACTGAGTTTGCTTTCAATTTCTCATGCTTATAAGTGATGCCACAGTGAGTGTACATGCACATGCCTCGTTGTCCATAAGTACAAAAGGTCTTTCAGGGAAGTTGAGGAGAAATTAAATACTAGTTGGGCCTTCATGTATACAGATTTCTTATTTTAACAAATACATTTTAAAGTGGCTAACTCAACTTGCACTCTGATCAGAAGAGAATCCATTTATCTATAACTTGATCAACATTATATATTATACTTCTCAATTCTACCAATCCGATTCTAGGAGTTTGTGTGTGTGTGTGTTTATCTGAAGGCAATGAGGTTATTGTACTTTTTTGGTGAATTTCCTTTTTGTGTCCCATGTGTTGTTGTTGTTGTTGTTTTCTTATTTGTTTGTAAGTGCTCTTTACATATTCTGAATACTAATCCTTTTATTGCATTTTATATATTAAAAGCATTATCACGTAATCTGCTGCTTTTTTTCAATTTAAAGTTATTTCCCACTCCATCACCTAGATTAAAGGTAATGTTTGGTCACAGGTACCACGAGAACAGTCACTCGGGTACCTGCTGCTGCTGTATCATGGCAAAGCAGGACCCCATGACCAGTTCAGCACTCCTGGTGTGCTCTGGAAAATTTACTGAGATGTGAGTTATGGCTGGAGAGAAAAAGGAACTTTGAGACTGGAAATAATAGGAGGGAGTCTAGCTATAACATTTGCAAACCCTCTTGATTTTCTGAACAACTTCGGCTAATTCTGGGTATGAGAACTATTATTCCTTCTTTTCTACATGATCAAATCTTCATAATTTCTTATATTCCCTCACCCCAAAATGTATACTTATTAAGCTCTTAATAATTTTAGGAAAACAAAAAGAGATAAAAATCCAAATAGATACCTTTCAAAACTTGTATCTTATTTAAATATTAATAACTACCAGGTTAATGGCAAATGTTAGCCATATCATTTTGAGATTTAAAGCATTCTCTCTCAATAAATCTTTCAGATCAGTACACCGAAAACACTATGCATCCTAACTATTCACACAAAAAGCATTAGGCCTTTGTCACCTGTGCAGTGCACTATCTTCTGCTTGATTAGGTCCTGGCACGTTACAATACCAGGTCAGTCATGGCCCATCCCTGTTCTCTGAGACTTGATTTACACTATACATCCAATCTATTTATTTTTTAAATATATTTTATTGATTTTTTTACAGAGAAGAAGGGTGAGGGATAGAGAGTTAGAAACATCGATGAGAGAGAAACATCGATCAGCTGCCTCCTGCATACCCCCTACTGGGGATGTGCCCGCAACCAAGGTACATGCCCTTGACCGGAATAGAACCTGGGACCCTTCAGTCCGCAGGCCGACGCTCTATCCACTGAGCCAAACCAGTCAGGGCTCCAATCTATTAAAACTACAGCTCACAGTGCAAGCTGTTAATTGCTATAAACTGAGCAAAAGATGGATTACATTGTATTCCCCCAGTTGACCAAGATATAGTATCAACCTACTATTTTCCTGAATTCTCTCTGCTGAGAGTCAGCAATTTTTGAACAACTGGAGGATAGAAAGCTTCAGGCAGGAGCTCCCTGAAGAAGTGAAAAATATTTTCCCTTTATGAATGGGGCTGAAACATACACGGGCTTCGCTCTTTTGGACCAACTTCTCCGTTAAAAGACAACACAACCTTTTACATTTAAGTATGGTGGACAGATTCACTCTCATTTCTTTCCTTCACTTTTAAGTAAGATGAAATGAAGTAACTGAATTGTAGTTCAAATCTACAAATATTCAACAATCAACCCCTGTGCTTAGAAGGTGAACAAAGGACCATGGGAGGTTCACCCAAACAACCGTGGAATGGAGAGCCAAGAGTTTATAAAAGGTTTCATTTGTGAAGCCCATGCAGAATGAGGAGGCTTTGGTATGAGGGAAGGTAGACTTGAGTGAGAGCTTCTGAGTAGAAGAAACATTTCCAGCAAAGGACAGGAGTCAGCTAAGTGGGGCCGCCTCTGGAGAACAGCTAGTGCCCAGTTTATCTGGTGTGCAGTACAATGAGGAGGTGTGGGTACGGCTGATGAGATAGCCAGGGACCATATATGATGGCGAGGAGCCATGCGGGAGACTGTATTTCAGGGAAGGTGATCTCTTGAGAAGAGGCCTAGAGTTGAAGTCAGAGGCTTGGCTTGGACTGGCATGTGTGACTGTCTGGGGGGAACAGGAGCCAAGGAGGCTGCGGAAGCATAGGCTCCAGTCACTGAGAGAGAACGACATCTGGTGGAAAGGGAGAGGGAAGTGAGAGAAGAAGACCGGGAGCTTGGGCACGGAATCTTCCCATCATAGACCAACAGGGAGTGCTGCAAGTAGGGCCAAGTCCCCCTAAAGCCACACCTGGTGGGATTTCCCACAAAATGGCAGGAGCTACATCAAAGCCTCAGCTTCTTTCACCCTCTGAGTGATCAGGCTCCCTTCAACCCCCTTGCATTTGAACCTTCAGATAGGAGCTGTTGTTTAAAGGCCAAAGAAGCAAGGCTGCTTTGAAGCCCTTCGCTCTTAAATTCTGACTTAGTTGCATTGATGTAATGCATTTCATCCTGCGCTCTCTCTTTCTTTCTCTCTCGCTCTCTCTCTCGACTAGGTAGGGGGTCCCCAATTCTAAACTTGCTATCTCTTTAGTTATTCTGCAAAATATAAAATATAACCTCAAGATTTTTAAAGTCAAAGTTCATAGAAATGACTACACAATACACATGACAAGAGGCTGTCGAAAATGTTCTGTTGTATTATTTCCCACACTCCCTTTCCACCCCATGAACTCCCCTTGCTGATCAAGCAGAGTGCAATCAACATTTCTCCAGGATGGAGTGGCAAAGAGAAACCAAGGAAAAGAGCAAGTACATTCCTGGGCTTAAAAAAAATAATAATCTGTCTAAGCAGAAGGCAGAGAGATTCCACAGAATAATTGCTGAATAAGCTCATCTTCCCACCCCTCCTGGATGACATAAAGATTCTCTGAGGAGGGAGGATACAGAGAAAAGGAGAAAAGAAAGCCTCAGAAGAGACTCAAATTGCAGCTCACCTTAGACGAAGTCTGGGTGGGAGCAGAAAGGAGGAAAGAGTTGGTTGATGGAATTGTCTTTGAGTTTGGGGGTTCAGGAGGGCAAGGCTGGGTGCTGGTTCCCAAGGGGAACTCTGAGAGGCCCTGGTCATGCAGAGCTTACCTGCACCATCGGCAATGGCATGGGTTGGGAGCGGCTGCAGAGATAGCTCCCTGGGGTGTCAGAGACAAAGAGGCTGTGCCGAGATCTCAAATCTCCAGGCCCAGAAATGTCAGACTAACCTCCCAGCCCCTGGAGAAGGGAAGCCAGGAGAGCGAGAGCTTGCCCTACAAAGGTCTTGCCTTCATTCCACAGCCACCGTGGAAACATGGACTGTAACGGGAAGTCAGGTGGGGCTGTGTCACGCCCCTGGATGCCAATGCAGAAGAGGAACCACGCTCAATAATCAGATCAGACACCAGCACAGGTGGTCTCAAAGCCCCAGTACCATGACGCCAATTAAATCCTTGGCATAAAAATATCACCCCAGGAAGGAGAGAGAGAAGGGCAATCCTCGGTTTGTCTGACTTTGAACCTGATATAATTAAGAAATCACCAACACATTGACACTTAGATTTCGGGTACTTGACCATGTTTTCTGATATCTGGAAGGGAGCTCAATATAACAATTAAGGTCAGTGTTGGGAAAATACAGAGAGTTAAATTTTATTCCTGAATTTTTGGACTAAAAATAACATATGCATTTGGTCTGGTCTATACAGCCTGACTCTTCTCACTCAGTTATTTCTTATGCAATGCTACAATGACTAACCAAGTCATGCTGACTCATTTATTCCTGCTAAAGGGAACTATTTTTTTCTCTGAAAGTCAACTCGATTGATGAAGCCCAGATTCTCAGGAATAAAATATTGTGGTGTGAAAACCACACAATGTTCAGCATTGAGAATCCAAAGGCTAATCAATCAAAAAAAATTTAAAAAAAAAACAGAAAGAAAAGATGCCCCCAACCCCATTCAATTACCTGAACAAGAAAAATGTATCCCAATCATGGAAAGACTAGGCAAAATGATCATTGCTTAATTCTCTGGCATCATGTTAGATCATTTCCTAACCCCACTTGATCCTAATCTAACACTTTTGGGTAACGTCCCAGTATATTTAACTAACAATCCACACCGATAGAGGTACAGGTAGTTTACAGCCTGTAGTGTTAGGGATTTACCTGCAGAAACGACCTACTGGTATGACTTCATAGGCCAAACAAGAAGTTAATCACAAACACACATGGTTTAATTCCTCTATAGAAACTTCACCAGTCTTATGCTTAATTTAGCAATGTTATTTCGGCTTTTCTTTCTTGACTAACTATATTAAGCCCTGCTCCTTAAATGCTCTTGGAACCAGCTCTTTTATTCTCCATCTGGTTCCATCATTAATAGATTAAATAAAACTGGAACACTTGCTAAAGAATAACTTTAAGAATTGTGCTTTTGCATTCCAATATGGTTTGAAAAATTATTTACATAAATTATTTACATAACTCACTGTCTACAGCATCCCAAATAATCTATGGAGTCCATAGTGGGGAATGTTAGTCAAGCATGGGTGAGGTCCCGAATGTACTGGAGGGCAGGCAGGTGGCCCAGCTAGAAGAAAGAGGCCTCTTGTCATTAGTCTTGACTGGCTTGTCTCTGTCCTCAATACTCAAGTAACTATACTAGTATGATGATAACTCAAAGGATAGTTGAATATACTCCAAAACTATTTTTTTAATTTTATTAAAATAATGAATAATGCCAATTTGAAACTTGAGAGCCTGGCTTTTGTATTGACTCAGTTATTTTGAACAGAGTGCTACCCCCATCACCCAAGCCACACTGACCTCCCTTTCCTCCTACCAGAGGGGGTGTAGCTTGGCCTTTCCCCCAGGGCAGAAACCCTCAGGACGGGATGTGAGCTGCCACTAAACAGCTGATTTGCAGTTGGCACCTGGTCTTGGATTGGGATCATAGGTAACTTTTGTGAGTCTGAATATCTCTTTGGAAAGACATTATCCTACAAAGAATATGAAAAAAAAAATCTATATCTCTGGCAGCGTCCTTCTGGGACCTGGTCCACACTCCTTCACTGCCTCACTTGGCAGGAAGGATTAGGAAGCAAATTATCGGTGGCAGAGGAAATGTCACCTACCCTTTCTCCAATCTGAATTCTAACATTAAAATATCATTGTTTTCAACCTTGAAGTAATCATAAGATTACTATGCAGCTGTTCCCATTAGCAAGGATAGATAAGGATAGATAGAGGGTAGGTCTGCAACAGTCACTCAATAAGTTTTCAAGGGCCTGATCTCAGAGGAAATGATCCAAATATATGCAAACTTTACTAAAGATGCTTATAATCTGGTTGGAAGGTAGAGCTAATATAACCAAATCCCAACAAGCGATATAGAAAGTATATAATTATATGCCAAACTGCATAGTATAAACTAGTATTATAAGTTTTGATTAAAATCTGGGGAGCACATTTTTCTATGCTAAAAGAATTGTTATGCAGTAAAATGAGAGAAGGCATGTACTCAGAATCATTTTTGCAATTGTGAAATTTAGTATTAAGTACCTATTGTGAATGACTAATTTGAACGTAAGCTACTAATTTGAATGGTTGCTCATTAGAAGAGAGTATTAGCTGTACTCTCTGGAATATTTGGGAGCAACACTGACTATTTTCTTTAGATCAGATCATTATGAGCAAAAGATAAGTATAAAAATAGATTCTCTGTCACCTAGTAAGAGAACAAAATTAAGAGCCCAGATATCATGAAGTGACAATTTCTAGTCAAAACACAGAGAATAAGAATCTCCATACATCAATTTGGTGCCTACTAATGCTGATGAAAATGAGAACTGAGCAAGGGAGAGAAAATATCAGTGTCAATCCAGTCAAAACTATGTATGGTGCCAGGTGGGCACTGGAAATATCAGAGGGGGGAAGGGAGGAAGGGCACACATTGCAAAGTATATGATTATCTAACCACTATGCTGTACACTGGAAACTAAGACAAAATAATATTAAATATAAACTGTAACTTAAAATCAAATTTAATGTTCCTTTCAAAAAATTTAAAAAATATCAGGAAAATAGTAGTGCAGATGGTACTCAGGTATGGCCAGCTGCGCAATGAAAATCTATAAGTGACTAAAGTTAGGGAAGCAGAGCTAATATAATCAACATGTTTAAAATTTTTATTCATCCATTGATTCCATGTTAATTATTGTTAGTATTTTCACCTATGCACTATAGGAATTCCTAAATTTTTATTTCTATTAGCAGAGAACTATAGTCTATTATCTAACCTAAAGAAAGTCTATAAAACATTTACACAATCTAATTAGCATAAAAAGAAAGAATAAGCCCGGCTAGTGTGGCTCAGTGGTTGAGCATCGACTTATGAACCAGGAGGTCATGGTTTGATTCCTGGTCAGGGCACATGCTCGGGTTGGGGCTCAATCCCCAGTGTGGAGCGTGCAGGAGGCAACAATCATCATTGATGTTTCTAGCTCTCTCTTTTCCCTTCCTCTCTGAAATCAATATAAATATATGTTGTCAAACTTTTCATTGTCATTGTGTTCACCTGAAATGGTTCCAGAGTTATTTGTTCTACAGGAGTTTTGATTCTGCTGTATCATCACAATATGGACCTAGAAGTCCACATCTTAGGAGTACAATGTAGGCAGGATCTTATTACAACTCAGCCACGTGGGACTCTAAAATAATAGTTCTCACCCTTTGTTCTGCCAGAGCCCATAGAAAATGATGTTCACATACTAGCTATAGTCCTGGGGGCATACCCAGGCTTTGACATAAATCCCCTCCCTGACAATTTTTTCTAGAACATTTAGGTAATACAGAGCTGTAGCTGTTGGTTATACATAATTTCCAGTATGTTTCTTTTTATCCAAGAAAACAAAATCAAATTTTAAATAAATGAACTACTAATATGATCTGCTTGCTTGCTTGTTGTTTTTTTAAATAAATCATTCACACATTCCAGTGCTGTACCTATTCTGGGTAACAAAGACCTAAAGTATAACCAGAGCAACAGTGTCTCTGCCTTTTTATTCTCTGAGTTAGGCTAGAGATACAGAGGGGACAACTGAAGAGGGGCATGATTTGCAGATGAGGGTGGAGCTGGTACCAATTGTTTTAGGATGGAAAATATACAGAATTGTTTTTCCACTGGAAAAACACCTACTACCATAAGTTGTAACTCAAACTGTCATATGCATGAATGTGTTCTATATTATTAATCTCCTTTATGGGTAAACTTTAGCATTCACTGACAACCTCACACATGCTATACCATATTCTGTTTTAAATTAAAAGATATATATGAATCCGTGAATATTTTAAAAATTGAACAGTATAACAAACAGTATGTTACATGTAAACTGTGCTAAAAGAGGTCCAAAGATCTGATCAATTTCACTGACATCAAGTCAAATCTTAATCTGACCTTTAGGAAAAGGAATAATGCCCTTTAAGAAAAGGAATCCCTGTTATGGGTCACAACAGAACTGTGAGTCATTTACATGTGTGTGTGTGTATGATCTGCTCTTGCTGTTAAAAAATTAATCAACAATGTCTGTTTTAGCTTCACGATGATGCTATGAACTTACCCTATGCCAAAATAGTAGGAGCAGAGGAGCACAGTCAACATGAGAGCTTTGGGCATCTTAGTAACAAAATCATCCTTTTTTGCATCTATGTTGACAGTGTAAATAGCCCCAAAGTTTCAATAACTGTTCAAAGTAACTCTAATAAATACAGAGAGATGGACTAATATTACAGGAAATCAGTTCACATCACCTTTGTTCACTACATGTGTTAACACTACAAAAACATGTGAATTAAGGAAGTTAAAGTGAAAATAGCATTAAGCAATAACTCCAAATTAACCAAAGTAGTCAAACAGAACTTTATACTCGAGTCATATACTCCTACTCATGTTAAAAGCACAATCACTAAACTTTTTCCTGAACTGTCCAGGTTTAGCTGACAATTTTACCATTACCGTTGTACTTTGGTCCTCCTCAATGGAAATCAGAAACTCTTTTCCCCCTTCAAACCATTATTGTAAATAGTTATATTTATTTTAAGAATCCATAATTATTAAACTATTAAAGAAACAATGTGATACGATATTGTTTTAATCAAATACAAATAATTAAAAAGAACTATCTGTATCAGAGTAAAGGAGAGAGAAAAAAATGTGCTTTAGTCTCCTGTATCATATAGGTCTAGAGCTTACAGAAACATGTATGCAAAATATAGCTACTATATTTTTTTTTCGTATGTATGCACTTTAAGCACCAATAGTTCAACTGGTTACTATTCCCACCAAAGCAGAAATGCAAATTTTAAAAAAACAGCCCATATTTACATCAAATAAGTGAACACAGAAAGCATTTTGATACTCTTAAATGCCAAATAATGATAGACAAAACAAGATTCCTCTGCTGTTTGAACTAAAATTACCTCCCAAGCATCATTCAGACATTTCAGGCCCAACTAGAATTCTGTGTTCACTCTTTGTGCGCTTGACATGAACTTGATCTAATAAGTACTACCATGATCTTTGAGATTGCGGAGGATCACAGTGGGGAGGCTGTGGGACTGCCACCCCGTCACTAGCTCGGCCTCTACCTCCTTAATGTGGGCCCTGAGCATGAGGGGTGGCACTTTCAGAAGCAGGTCAAGAGGCAGCAAAGCTGAAGAAATAAAAGGGGGAAAGATAAGAGACTGTAACATACATTACACTGAATTTCAGGCAGGCATGCATGATTTCATTGCCGTCAACACTAAATTACCTGGTCTTGGTCTTGATACCACTCCCCCAGTGAAGTCCCTGAAAACAGAATTAGGGGCCATTAGAAGGACTTGTTCAACTTGGACTTGACCAACATTTACTGAAAGCCTATGGTTTGAAAATAGATTATAAAAATGAATAAAGTTTTCCCCCCTAAGACACTCTCAAGAGTTCAGTAAAGAAGAAAACAAACATATCTGAACCCAGAGCGGACCTGACAGCCCACTGAGCAACAGAAGAGCCTTGTCCCATCAGAGTTGTTTATCAGCTCTAGTGACTAGGAGCCTAAATCTCTTAGCATCTTGAATGATTTTCTTGTTACACTAAAATGAACATATTGATTTGTATTGAAAAGAAATATTTAATTTTTAGATATATTATTTTTCTACACTTTGTCCCTGATGTCTAAAGAAGAAACTATGAGATAAGATGATTTTTTCATTTAAAAGGATTATATCTTTCCTAAAGTTTCCAGTATTATCAACATCACTTGTTTGCACTGCCTTAAAATTCTAGATTTTCTGATCATTCTGCAAGTTGGTCTCAGCGCCTTCAACCCAGGAGAGGTGGCCTAAGACCCCACCAAGGACAGCTATAAATAACCTTCAACCTTGTTTTTTTCCACTAAAATTTAGACCCCGTTTCTTAATAGTTGGATTTTTAAAAAATAAAATAAAAAAAATCTGTGTCCTCGCAAGATATAAGAACTACACTTCAATTTAATGCAATCCAACAAAAATATATACAACATCAACCAAGTATGAGGCACCTGATAGTCATTTGCTGAGTAGTAATGCATTCATATAGGAATTCAAATAAACATGATTGGTGATTCTCTTACCCTACCCTATTCATTTTCATTATAGAGATCTTGATACATGCGTGCAACATATACCTAAGGTATGAGGAATAACAAAATTGGAACTCATTACCTACCACCTAACACCTAAGTACTAGAATAATGCTAAAATCTTTACATCCAACTGTGAGTTCCTTCCCTATCCTTTTCCATTCCTCCTAACCCTCTACCAAACCAGCCCTCTCTTGATCCCATTATTTTTTCTGTCCCATTTCCAGCCCATGTTTCCAGAGCCTTAAAAAGTAAATGAATCTCGCCAGTCTTGCACAGTTAATGTACTCTCCCTAGCCCTGGGATAAGGGAATGTATATAGAAAGAAAAGGGATGGCCTCTGCCTGCCCTCAGGAACTTCAAAGAGGGCAAAGCTCAGCCTGGGCTGGTGTGCTCAGTGGTTAGAGCGTATCCCCCGCATACAGCAGGGTCATGAGTTCAATTTCCAGTCAAAGGCACATACCTGGGTTGCAGGTTTGATCCGAAATGAATCTCGCTAGTCTTGCACAGTTAATGTACTCTCTCTAGCCCTGGGATAAGGGGATGTATAAAGAAAGAAAAGGGACGGCCTCTGCCTGCCCTCAGAAACTTCAAAGAGGGCAAAGCTCAGCCCGGGCTGGTGTGCTCAGTGGTTAGAGTGTATCCCCCGCATACAGAAGGGTCATGGGTTCAATTCCCAGTCAAAGGCACATACCTGGGTTGCAGGTTTGATCCAGCCCCAGTCAGGGCACCTGAGGGAGGCAACCAATCGATGTGTCTCTCACATCAATGTTTCGCTCTCCTCACCCCACTCCTGCCCTCCCTCCCTTCTCCCCTTCCACTATATCTGAAAAGAAAAGGAGGCAAGATCCATAGGTCCTGAGATTACAAAAGGGCCTTTCTGGCCACGTGTAGGATACTGGATGGTTACAAATGCCCATAATCATCTTTATATACAAAGACTAGAGTCAGGCACCCGCCCCTGAATACAATTATGCATTCACTGATTTATCAAAGTTGTGAACCACAGGCATCTCTGCTGCCACAAACATCCGATGTCATAAACTACCCTGCCAACTATACCCTGTTGCCTTAGCAACAGGACGCAAGCAAGCATGGAAAAATCTTGTTGCCTGAGCAACAGAATCTTAAAGAAAAGAGGGAGTGGGGCCTTAGGCTGTGACTATGGCAAAGGCTGTAAGTTCAAGCCAGTAGGTGAGATTTCAGTCCTAGTACAGTGAGAAATATAGAATTTCTGCCAAGATAAAAATCATGCAACTATTAATTACAGGTATTTGTGGACTGGAACCTCTGTGCAGTGCACTGTGTCCTAGACAATGCAATAAAAGACCGGGCATAGTCTATTATGTACCAACACACAGTAATAAATATCAATTGATGTTCTTAAGGTCATGATACAGTGACCAAAGCTTAGCAGGATTGGGGTGTATGTGACAATGGAAGAGGCTGAAGCCCCTGTGTGCATTATCAAATTCCACCAAACAGAATAATTTCTTTGTAAATGGAAATAAAATTTTATGGCTTATTGGATTAGAACTATCAATATATATACTGAGTGAGACTATAAAACCCAGCTAGAAACTGATAAAAGTCAAGCCCATTCCCAATTCTTGTAATAAAGGAAGCAATAGTAATAAAGGAAGAAGATTTTACATCACTTGGATCACTGAAAATGATTAAAGTTGGAAATTGCAAATAAAGTCCTAATTATTGAATTTGGAATGGCTTTTTCCTGACAGACATTAACCCAGCTTTTGTCTAACTCTGTTGATGCACAAAACATCAAACAAATGTTAACAATAAGGATGTCTATTCATATGGTTATTTGAAAGTAGATAATATTTTGTGAGAGTTCCTCCACCATGAACAGTGAGTTCTATTTTCCCTCTTACTCCTTATCGTTTCAGAGATACACACATCAAAGGATGATTTCCACAAACACTATCATCTGCTTCACCCCCTCTCAATATACACATGAAGTTCATCTCTCTCAAAGTGGGGATGGAAAGGTGATACAACCCCTCCGGAAAACACTTTGGCAGTTTCTTAAAAAGTTAAGCAGAAACCTATCATATGCTCCAACCATGTCACTCTAGGTATTTAGCCAAGATAACAAAAAATATAGTCCATATCAATTCAGAAATGTTTATCTGCTTCTCCCTGGTTGATCACACTCCTTAAATCTAGACCATCCAATCATCTAATAAACAAAACCCACCAAGTGTACTACTTTCCTTAAAATCCCTGTTCTCTGCTTTCTAAGCTGCAGTTTATCTTTGCCTCCATTTCTCAGACACAGAGAAACGGTTGTCACTTCACCTTTCCCAGGCCCCCTCTGCGGCTCCAAGCCACTCGGAAACTGTCCACCATCACTTCTCTTCCATCCTAAATCTCTCCTCTCCAGGGCCTGCTTCTCCTCAGTCCCATTCAGCCTGCAGAAGATTCTAGAAGGTCCTTTTCCATCGACATTCCCCACCAGCTAACTGTTCCAGCTCACCCCTCACTTTCTTCAATCGCTCTACACCCTCCCCCTGTCACTTTTAAAACCACCACAACCAGGCTTCTGTTCACACCAGCCTCCCCCAGTGCCACAGAAACTGCTCTCAGGAAGGTCGGTAGCCAGAGTCTGGCAGAAGGCCAAGTTGAATAGTTTTGTTTCAGTCCTAAGCCCAGGAATCAACTGTTGTAGAAACTTCTAGTTATCCCAAAACAACAATTTCTTATTCCTTTTAAAACAGAATCCCCCACACATATTCATCCTCCCTTGCAGCTAGAAGTGGTCATATGACAAAGTTCTGGCCAATGGTATGTGAGCAGAAGGGATGAGCACAAATGGGTCATGTGCTTAAAAGGAAGGGGCGTGTCTCCCTTTCCACTTCCCGCTGGCCACAGGTGGGTGTGATGTGGTCCACATTGACCATGAGGATAAAACCTATTCCTTGGAGATGTGAAAAAAAACACACAAAACAAAATATAAGGAGTCAGGGTTCCAGATGACCTCCCTTTCCACTTCCCGCTGGCCACATGTGAGTGTGATGTGGTCCACACTGACCATGAGGATAAAACCTATTCCTTGGAGATGTGGGAAAAAAGACAACACAAAACAAAATATAAGGAGTCAGGGTTCCAGATGATCTCATAAAAGCACAACTGCCCTACCTCCCTGTCCCACCCTTGAGCTCAAAGAAATGAACTGATTGGCTGAAGGTCACAAAGCCAGACTAAAACAGGTCCAAGCTTAGCACTCTTCCCAATATGCTGCTTGGTAAACTACATCAGTTCTGGGAGGGTGGGCTCTCACAGCCTCCATTTCCACAAGCCCAGGGTAACTTTTAGCTATCAGGTTTCCAGTTAGCCAGCAATAACTCAACTCCATGGAGTCTAAAAATATTTCTAAGAGCTCAATGTGTACATACCTCATTTGGGATTGTCTTTCTCCTCCTGAAGCACTAAAACTTCTCTTTAAAGTGCCTGGAACAAGAAAATAAAAATAATTACATAGTTTCCCATTGCAAATCATTTATTTGGTTGGTTGATTGCTTAAAACGTGCCGCATTCCATTATCTGAGAAATTGTACACAGTATAAAGACAATCTTCATTTATGAAAGCACCAGCTAAAATAAAATGTTGCAAATTAATATTTACCTGACAGGTTTGTCTAGGGTCTTTTTTAATAAAGAAAAGGTGCTAAGCAAAGAAACTCCATTATTAATAGCTAACAAAGAACGATAACACATCTATGTCATAATCATCCAAAGCTTTGCCAAGACAGCCAGCTGCAAGTTACCACGTGCAAATTTAAGGGTCCAACTTTTTCTTTCTCACTGACCCTCCCGCCATTGTTACTGGAGATATACAACACTTAATTCATCTTAAAACAGTCAGTAATTAACTGCTTCTAGAATCTGCTACACATATTAATATGCATGGATATTTTTACAGTACAATATTCATGTTTACCCAATTACAAAGCAAGACATTTTCCCTAGGGCCTAGGCCCTACCCGATTTGGCTCAGTGGATACAGTGTCGGCCTGTGGACTGAAGGGTCCCAGGTTTGATTCCGGCCAAGGGCACATGCCTGGGTTGCGGGCTCAATCCCCAGTAGGGGGCATGCAGGAGGCAGCCGATCAATGATTCTCTCTCATCATTGGTGTTTCTCTCTATCCCTCTCCCTTCCTCTCTAAAATCAAGAAAGATATATTTTAAAAATTTTAAAAAGACATTTTTCCTTAGCAGTCTGAAATTTATAGGAAAAACAGAACAGAGTGTCAGAAATTGGGATTATCCCGGAAAATCTGAAACATCCAATTAAGTTTGAAAAGGGACAAAGAATGAAGCTAAATCCCTGGGCTTCTAATTTTATCCTTAGGGAGACTATTTTAAACCTTCTTTTTTGAGATAGTCATTGGTGAGAAGTCACACAGTCATGGGTAAGAATTATTTTCATTTATTTTAGAGAGTATTTCTATCTACCCGATGTAATATCCCATGAACTTACTCTTTTAAAAGAGTTTTTATTTTCTCTCCATTTTCTATTATAACACCTTTTCTTTCAGTTTCAGATTTGTTGAGTGAATTGAATCCTCTCTCTCCTTATCATCTTTAAATTTTATCTTAATATATCTATTATTTTTCTTTCCCATATCCCAATGTGACTGTTTTCTTTACTGTTTCAAATTAAGAGTTAAATTAACATATATGGACTGAATTTATATAACATATTTTTTCATAGTTCTAAACAATTAAATTATTTAGGTTACTTTAGTGTTTTAAGAATAATACATCCCTTTACATTAATGTAAATAAAATTTTACAAAACTTAGTCTATACCAACACTAATTTATTCTCCAAGTTTTTTTTTTTTAATCCTCACCCGAGAATATTTTTCCCATTGATCTTTAGAGAGAGAGTGAGACAGAGAGAGAAACATCGATGTGAGAGAGACACTTCGGCTGGTTGCCTCCCACACCAGGCCTGACGGGGGCTGGAGATCTAACCTGCAACTGAGGTACGATTTGACCACTGAGGCAACACAAAAACCACAGTGCTGGTTGGTTTGGGGGCTCAGTCAGAGTGATGACACACCTGTGCCAATTAGCATTGCATCTGGGAAACAAACCACTGGGTTCTGTATGGGGTGACATTTACCTGACGCCCAACCTACTACCTGCTGGAGTCCACAACTGGTAAAGAACGCTTACTGAATGTAGATTCTTTCAAAGGGCTGGAACTGGAGCTGCTGGAGTTGTCCGAAATGTCCAAGTCATCGTCGAGCTCTGAGTATATATCTGCACATTAATAAAAAGAAGAAGCACATGAACCCTGAAACGGAAAGGAGTCCAGAGTGCTGCCAGCCCTTCACTAGAATGACCTTTCTCGATGTTTTCCAGGTTGAAGGTATCATCCGACAGGATTTCATCACAGGCCCTGTCTTCTTCCCTTCCACAGGGGGCCTGGAGCCCTTCGGGGGGCAGGTCCGCGCTCTCGGAAAGCTCGCTCCTCAGGCTGGCTGCCCCGCTGCTGCTGCTGCTCAGGCTCGCCTTCTCGAAGGTCTCCTGAGAGAGAAACGCAACCTTTAGCAGACACTTCTGTGTTCCTTCTGCAGGTTACAAAGCTTGTTAGGACATATATTAAAATACTTAAAGTAGCATTACAAATATGTGTGCTGAGGTAGCATCAGAGGCTCCAACTGTAGATTTGCCATAGAATTCATTCAGTCCAAATATATAGATATAGATATAGATATAGATGTAGATGTAGATGTAGATGTAGATGTAGATGTAAATGTAGATGTAGATGTAGATATAGATATAGATATATAGATATATAATTTTTTTTTTGTAAAGGTACCATTGGATGAAAAAAAATGGATGTGGCAAGATGCTTAGTAACAAAGGTCTGTGTAAGCTGGTGGGAAAAAATGCAGTACTAAGGCCCTGGCTGGTGTGATTCAGTTGGCTGGGCATCGTCCCATGCACCAAAGGGTTGCTGGTTCAATTCCCAGTCAGGACACATGCCCAAGTTGTGGCTCCATCCCCGGTGGGGGACATGCAGGAGGCAGCCCATTGATAAGATGTTTCTCTCTCTCTCTCTTTCCCTCTCCATTCCTTTCTCTCTCTAAAAATCAATAAAAATATCAACAAAAAATAAAGAAAATACAGTAATAAGGAACCAACGTGTATCAATTAAACTGAGAGTTCTCTTAAGTTATTTTGAAAAGATTTGCTATCACATCTTCTCAGCACCACAGAGAATAAGGAAGTAAGGCTTAGTTTCTTCAAAGTTCAAGGGTAATTAGTAGCAGATACAGCCAGGCCATGGAGAGAGATGAGGGCTCCTAAGAAATGAGCTACAGCAAAGGGACTTCAAACCACTTAGGACCCCAGGCCCTTGCCCAGAGTCAATACTCTCTACAGAGCTTCGCTAGCCACGGGCTCCTCCAACTGCTGTGTTTTCATTTGATAGCGCCCTAAGCTTACCATCTGGCCATGTGAGTCCACATTTCCCTAAACTGCAAGTATTAGAAACTGCAAGATTATATCTGACAGTTCAATAAGAATAAAGGGGAAAAGAAAGATTGCTCTCATTAAATTCCTAATCCATCATCTTGGTATTGCTAATCCAAAGACAGATTTGCTAGACATAATAATACTAATAAAGATGACGGGAAGAACCGTGTCATAATCTAAAAATATCACTTATTAAAGTTTTTCATTTTCTAAGAAAAAGACAGGGAAAGGAACTACATATGACTCAGCAGGAAGAGTACCGTTTCTTTACTCAGTTGAGTCCCAGTTCCTAAAACCTTTACTGTGTGTGACAGTTTGTGGTAAGTGTGTAAAACCTTAGGCTCTTGGGCTAAACAATGCTGACCCTACGACATAGACCGGGAAGATGAAAAGACAAAGGAAGAAAGGCCATAAGAAAGGTAAGTACAAGTTGAAGAGCATGAGAGGAAAGCAAAAGAGTGCATTTATTAAAAGAAAAAAAAATCTACTTGTGAAGTGTGTCAGATTGCTTCGTCACAAGTCAACTCCAATGATGAGCAATGCCTGCTACAGAGACAGGCTCATGATTTTCCCCCCGATATTTATTTTCCTGGTCTGCAAAACCCACTCAACCTTCTCCGGGCCCTCTTCCTTTTTCTGTCCTATCCCACAGATCGTTCTTCCAGCTCTAGTTTGCTATTCCAGACTTAAGGAGGTCTGACTTGCCACCAACACCCAAGAACCAGTTGGCTTGCAAATCAAGTCCTTTGCAATTGTCAAAATTGCATCCATGGGTAATTGGGTGTTGGCTTAAATGTCGATAAAGGGAACTCCTATCAACATTTGTAGGTGCCATAAACTAAATGCCACTATAGACACACTTTCCCAAGTGTGATTTCCAGAGTTTTTGCTTGTAGATATTTAAGTACTCACATGATTATCCAACTCACTCCTTTAAGACTTCTGGGCTATTTCAGTCCCTTTTAAATCCCTGGATACCTTGCACATAGCAAATGCTCAATAAGTAGTTGCTGTGTTGATATCAACGGGAGAGAAGGGTTAGAAAAACAGGTGAATTCCCTGATAGGGTGAGCAGGTTTTGTAACTGCTGTGTTTTTAATCTTGCCCCTTTCTGCAGGGTCCTACACTGTGACATTTCTGAGAGGTGAAGGGACTGTTCGGTGATGCGAACTTGTCCCTTCCCTTTCCCTCTGTGCGCTTAGACAAGGCTGTAAGTGCACCTGTCTTAGAGATGACCAGCCCAGCAATGACAACAAGCACCTGTAACCCAGCAGGCACTGGGCAAAGGCAGACATGGTTGGGTATTTTTAGCCATAATAGTTGAGGCCATTAAGATGTTTTCAAAAGTTGCCTCAGCAAGTACATAAACCTATTAAAGCAAGTTGGAGAGGGGGGGGGGGGGGGGGGGGACACCTTGGGGAATAGAATTTGACTGCTGTCATTTTTTGTACTTTCTAATTACTTAGGGTTTTTCTGGGAATAGGAGAGTGAATTTAGATTTTTTTGGCATCTGTATCTCCTAGGAATGGATGGACACATTCTGAGTATTGATATGGCAGCAAGGAGAAGACAATAGACATTTTACAATAAAATGATCGTTGATGTGGTAGTCATTACCATTAGAGAAGCCACTTCCTGTCACAATTGCTGATATAAACACAATTATGTTTAGCTCATTATAATGTAATGTTTATGTGTGGAGCAGATCATAATACATTTTTTAGTTGAATAGCAATTCTAACAGTAACAGACTGGCAATGCCCAAATTAACTGTGGCAGTAAGAAAAGAATTAAGAGAGCCTAGTTTATTAAAACTAGTGCAATATTTTTAAATTGCCCAGAATGTTAGTTTTATAACAAGACAAAGAAAAGCAAGAAATAAATATAAAGCATAACACCAGCTATATCCTGTAGAAGCTTTACTGTAGAGCCATAAAGAATGCACTATATATGCTGTGTTCTAAATATTCATATTCTATTTGTTATATCTTTACTGCATTTCTTCCATTTATTCAATTAATAATTGTGACCTTAAATACATGAATTTAGGGTTATCCAGTGCTTGACAGAAATTCACCAGGATGAGGTGATCTCTTTTAGGTGACAAACCAAGTTTTATGTTTTTCATGGCTGATAGCACAAAGAAAATTCAAAACAGGCCCAGCTGGCATGGTGTCGACCTAAGAACCAGAAGTCCCGGTTCGATTCCCGGTCAGGGCAAATGCCTGGGTTGTGGGCTCGATTCCCAGTTTGGGTGTGCAGGAGGCAGCCAATCAATCAATGATTCTCTCTCATCATTGATGTTTCTCTCTTTCTCTCTCTCTCTCTCTCTATCTCTTTCTCTCTTTCTCTCTCCCTTCCCCTCAGACATCAATAAACATATTTTTTTAAAGAAAACTCAAAACAGGAGACAGATTATTAACTGCATATCACTGTACATAAACTTAGTTACTGAATTTTAAAGTATTTAAAAAGTCAGCCAGTGTGGTCAGATGGCTGAAGGGGCCACATAGACCCGGCCATAGCTGAGTGGACTGTCCACTCAGCAAGGGCAATGAGAGGCTCCTTCCAGGAACGCGCTCTGGGACCCTGGCTTTGCCATCACAGAGAGGTGGGCTGATGCAGTCAGGCTGGAGTCTGGTCCCTCAATATGGAGGATGGAGCTCTTTTAGCTCCCGAGTTCTTTGGATAATGTTTAATTTCATTGATAAAATCTTGAAGAATTTCCCTTCTCCCATGCCCCACACATCAAGTACGAGAATAATATGTTCAATTTAAACCAGAAAAGCTAGTGTTTGAGCCTTGAAAATAGCTAAATTTACAAATATTACACAATAAAGGAAAATGGTCTCTTCACATTTGAATATTAATTACTTTTTTGTTTTGAACTTGTTAAAAATATTCATACAAAGCTCAACATTTCACTTTAATATCATTAAATGCACATAATTATGATCACAACATTCTCTGAACTTCTTAAACCCATAAGAACATATTAATGAACTGTCACTAACTTAAATAAAATTAGAAAATGAATTAATTATAATAATTCAGTCTAAAAATCCTAGAATCAAATTTACCATGTTTGGCAATGTTTCCCTGCCACCCCATAACTAACCTAGTATTCCTAATTCAAAGACAGATTTGCTAGACATAATAATAATAATAATAATAAAGATGAGGGGAAGAACAGTGTCATAATCTAAAAATATCACTTATTAAAAATACAGACAATATGGTCTACATCAAATACCGACCACCATTTTGTTCCAAGACTGCAGACAGATGAAAACAACTGAATGTCTATTAATATTTCCAAAGCATTTCAAAAGAGGTCAGATGAGGCAATGCCACTTAACATGTAGAAGAAACAATGCACAGAGAATTATCAAGCAGTCAAGTTTTAAGATATTCTAATTTAGATTGCTCAAAAACAAGAAATGTAATTGAAAATCAGCAAAGCTTAAGGCATTAAATAGAATGAAATTAGACATGGGTGTTATCAATAGAGATGAGACCTGCAAATTGGAGCCCCACTTACTGTTCCATTTTTAACACAGAATTACATAAGGAAGGGTCTAATTCTTATTAAACAGCATTCTTAGCACAGAATATCAAAATGCCAAATTGAGCCTGGCCAATGTGGCTCAGTGGTTGAGTGCTGACCTATGAACCAGGAAATCATGGTTTGATTACGGTCAGGGCACATGACTGGGTTGCAGGCTTGATCCCCAGTAGAGAGTGTGTAGGAGGCAGCCGATCAATGATTTTCTCTCCTCATTGATGTTTCTATCTCTCCCTCTCCCTTCCTCTCTAAAGTCAATAAAAATATATATATATATTAGCCCTAACCGGTTTGGCTCAGTGGATAGAGCATCAGCCTGCGGACTCAAGAGTCCCAGGTTCAATTCTGGTCAAAGACATGTACCTTGGTTGCAGGCACATCACCAGAAGGGAGTGTGCAGGAGGCAGCTGATCGATGTTTCTCTCTCATCAATGTTTCTAACTCTCTATCCCTTTCCCTTCCTCTCTGTAAAAAATCAATA